AGAATTCAGAAGGAGAAAAATGTGAAACAAATGGGGTAATCGGGTGTTGGAATTGTTGGGATTTCAGGGGGTGGGGGACAGACGAGGATTTGTTTCTTCTCTTGTCTTGCTTTTAGGTGGTGTGAGGGCTTGGGGCTTGAATACCCTTAACTTGTAGGATAATGCCACCTGCTGTTTTTAGTGCAGCATTGCTACAATAATTGTGTTGATACTCCGATGATTTGAGCAGATGGACTAAAACAAGCTCATCACATGAAAGACTTCCCAATTGTATCTTACAGTTTTATTAAGTATTATTCTGTGTATTTGTCTTTTTCTCTCCTTTGATAATAAACTAAAAGGATAATTGTTTGTAAAATGAGTTTAATTGCAATTCTTATCATAGAAATAAGAGCTAGCCTATTTATAAAAAATGCCATCAACAATCACCAATACAATATTTAGTTGTATTTTTCAGTAGGTCCACAGTAAAAGGACTTGCTGTGCAATGAGTTAGTATTGATTTTTTTTTTTTTTGTCTGTAGCCTCTTAGCTTTCTGACTCCATTATTTTTGATTTTACTATGAAATGCATATCCTTTCTACTGACATCTGACAAGTAACATATGGAAGTCATTTTATCTACCAATAATGTGTTTGTCAAAAATATCATACAGTAATGGATTATGCTTCCTTCCCGTCCATTTTCACCAAGTTAATATCACTAATGTAATTCTAAAAACATTCAGTGCTTTTGTTTCTCTTAGTAACTTGTCATTACTATGGGTTTGCATCTAATTCATGTAATATACCATAAAAGGCTAAATACTGTGGTAGATGCATCATACAAGAATTGAGCAACTGAACTTTTAAATCTGCATTCATCTCCATTCTCTCTGAAATCTATTGAATCATCTATTTTTCTTGATTTTCTGCTGCACTGTCACAGTGGTACCTGAGTGTATTCTGCCTTCCTTCTGTGCAAGCGCATCTTTGTTCAGGGCCCTTCCCAACTATCAGTATCCCCTTTTGGACTACTGCTGAAGAACTCAAAGCTCCTGTAAAAAGATAGGAGTTATAGGCACCGCGCGCCTCTGCACTCTACTTTGATCAGATTAGCATCTTTTAAAAACTTTAATCCCCATTCTTACAGTAGTAAAATAAGCCCTACAGACTTTCTGGGACATGAGTGTTTTATGGGTTTATATAGTGTTTGTTTAGCAAGGCAAATGTTTATTTCATTTGGTTTCCAATCATCATATTTATTAAAATTATGAACTAAGAGAATGAGTATAGTTTAGCTTTTCTGAGATGTTAGTGCCTATACAATATTTTTCAGTTATTAAAAGAAACAGTGAAAATCTCATTCTCGGCTTGAATTAGATTTAGATTATTAGGATGGCAGATATGAGTACATTACTTGAGGCTGTTACAGAATTGCTTTTCAGATGCAATGTTTCCTGCACTTATCTGAGTAAAATGATCAATATATAGCTTTTATGCATATTTGGCATGTCCAGGTGTATTGGCCCCTCTCCCTTCCCTTCTCTTGCCATTTACCTTCTCTGTTCAGATGGAACTGTGAGCAAAAATAATTTCATAACAAAAAAATTGTGGAACCAGTATGACACTTGCCAGACACTCATGATCCATCTTTCCCTACCTTCTGTCTGTCCTGTCTATTACAGAAAGGTCTTCACTTCAAGGGCTGTCGACTTCTTCTCTGTGTATGTACAGTGCCTAGCACACTGGAGTCCCCTTCTTGACTGGTCACAGGATATTACCATAATAAACATAATAGATAATATTCAGAAACAAATTTGATGGAGAGAAAAAGTCAGTTAACATATAAATAGTATATAACTTTACCTACATGGGTAGAGCCCAGATTTTACTGCCACTGCAGCTGTACCTGGGACCAGCTAGGGAAGATCAGGAGCGCTGTAAACTGAGTGTGAGCAGAAGCAGAAATGAGAGAGGCACCCGCACAAACACTTCTTTTAGATGTTAATGTGAGGAAAGAAACAAACTAGTCATTATTTAGAAAAATGTTTTTGTAATGCTTGGCTGATGAAAATGAAGTTATGAAATTTGTACTTCTTGTACCTGGGTATTGGATAGCTACTCTGTATTTTTTTTGTTCATTTAAACTTTCATTCAGTCATCATTTAAATATTGTCTGAGGCTAGTTTCCATTGAATTGCATAAGAGAATGGAGTGGTTTTATTTTTTCCCTGAAGGAAATTAAAAAGCAATGATACATTTGCTATATATATCTGGATTTAGAAGTGTGTGTAGAGCAGGATGTATATCTTCACTGGCCATGAAAAGGATCAAAGGGAATTTGTAGTGTGCACCTCACCTCAGGAATATTATTTGGAGGAGTTCATTGAATACAAAACTTACCCATATCAGAGTCAAAGATCATAATCAAAACATTTCAATTCACATGCAGGCTGTTGGAAGGACTAGCACAGAAGCAGGACCTTTCATGAAAAAACCATCTTCCAAGCATCAGAAAGCATCCTTTCCGTCTCAGGGTCACTGTTTCTCAAGCATATACCTGGTCTTTATATTACTGCATCAAGCAGAGCAACCTTGGTTATCTCTTGACCTGCAAACTGTACCTGGCCATCTCTGTCCATGACTTGGCAGATCACTATGTTCTGAACTAGTGGTGAAGAGCATCAAACCTCTCGTTCCACTTTTGCATTTTCCTTGTAATAAAGGAATTTCATCATAATCCTGCTTTTAAGGCACACTCAGATCACTGCAGATTCTTCTGGAGTAAGAGAAGACTCTGTCCTAGGACCTGACTACTACTCTATTTTGAGGTGACATAACTTGTCCTAACTTCCCCCAGCCACCAAAGCAGTTTTCCCTGTCTGTATTACTTTGCAGTGGCAGCATGTAAGAAGCACAGGACAGCCAAGTATTCAACAAATGGATTCCCAAAAGAATAGGAATAGGAAACTCAAATGGACCTTTCTAGGAATGAGCCCCATTAATTGTCTTTTCTTCTGTGCCTGGCTGTCATTACAGGCAGTAGAGACAAGAATGGGATACAAAAGGACTGGTGGCAGATTCCCTGTTATATCTGTGGAAGAGTACAGGAAATGCTTGCTATTCACAGGTTCAGCATTTGTGGTTTCAGATATTTCTGAATGCTGAACCTACATTTTAAATGCACTTTATGCACTTACAGGAGCTCCTTGGGAGTTCTGCACTTGCTGCCGCCGGGCTCCCGCCACCACCACCACCACTGCTGTGCTCTGGCCGTGACCACCGGAGCCCTGTCCCATCCCTTCCAGCTGCCGGGGCATTGTGTTCATGAGCACAGTGCCTTATGGATTTTGCCATTCGCAGGGGATACGAGAACATGTCCCCTGCAAATGGCAAGGGTCGCCCGTACTGTGCAGGAAGGCTGGGTTATATTGAAGCTGGAGCTCTGGCCCTGAAACTGGTGGGGATGGGCTGGACTGCTGTGTGGGGATGAGCTGAGGGGTTTTCACTGTAAACAGTGGGTAGGTTTGGGCTAAAGAATGGACCTAGGTGCAGGTAGCAACATAGACCTATCCTTACAGCTAATGGCATTTTGGTTATGGGCTCTGAAAGACTGGTGGATGGTGCTGCATCTCTATCATGAAGTGAATTGAATGTATGAATGAAATACTGCATGCATTTTGAGAAACTTTCAGCAAATATCTAAACAGTACAGGAATCTGAGAGCATTTAATAAAGCAGTCTCTTCACCGAAAGCAAAACTTTCCAAGTAGTATAAATGTTTTTCAGTGTGTATCTTGAGGAGGGAGGCTATATTCTTATCTATTTTTAATAGCTGGTATCCACTCAAGCATATCTAACTTGGGTCATGGCTTGTATTAGACTTTTTCTGGTACGTCCATATATGTAAATTAACTTTTTTTTTTACTTTGTTCAAACAAAGTATTAAAAGTCTTAAATATAACATAAAGAAGATGATATTGGACTGTTGCTCAGCTTTAATTTCCAATCCCCTTTTTAATGAGAAGTTTTAAGGCATCTCTGTTTTGGTAAAGTAGAGCATGAATTTGACCTAGAATATGTAAAACCCTGCTTTAGTATTTCCCTTCTGATTTCTTACCAGTTACATTTTAATGGCATTGTGTCTAAAGGTCAATAGAAAAAATATTTGCCTGATGATAGCTCAGCATATAGGTTTTGTGTATTTCTTGTTATAGGGCTCCAGTAGTACCCGATGCATCACAATAAGGTGTATTCTCTTCAAAATAAAATTTGAAGCTGTGCTTTTCGCAGGTGCCTAGCAGAAGATACGATTTTGTAACATTTTTTGTACAAAATGCAATCATTTGAGAGCCTCACAATGAATTGAAGTCTTCCAATATTGCAGGGAAATTTTACTCTCATAATTAAACAAGCAGCTGAAATTATTTGTCAACACAGCCACACGATGTAAACAACTGATTATCATAACAGCACACAGAACATTTGAGAGTTTTATATAGAGGGGAGTTATATAATTAATCTGCTTTCAGTATTTTGGCTATATCAATCAAAGACATTACTGTTGGTGATACATGACTTTAAATAATTCCACAGGAGGTGGAGGAGAAGGTTGACAGGAAGAAGACTGTACTAACATCAAAGTCAAATATAAGCTAGAATTAATAGTAGTATTTTAACACTTCAGAGGTATACACCCTGAGCATTCAAGATCCCTTGTTTTTTTCCAGTAAATCTACATGCTGCAGATCTGCAGTTATCCTGTATGGGCTTCTATAAGAAAATTTTATGGCGACATCATGAATGACATCACACATTAAGCAATAATAGCCTAATTACTCCTGTTGTTCTTAATAAAGTATGGATGTTTCTGTATAACAGAATATTTTAGCATGCATCAGAAGGCTTTTCTGGTATATATTTCATGAGTAGTAAAATATATTCAGTGAGTATTGCTTGGGCACAGCATTGATCATAAGCTTACGCTAACATATACTGACATTATACCCTCTTTTGTAGACCAAGCCACCCTAGTAGAACAAGTGAAACGAGTAAAAGAAATTGAAGCTATTGAAAGCGACTCCTTTGTTCCACAGACATTTAGATCAAGTAAAGAAGTCAAAAAGGTAAGTTTGCAATATCCCATCATTGTGTATAACCCTTTGGGTGCCTAATAGAAGCTGCTGCATTAACAGCTTCGATTCACACTTCACATTAGCAATCTTAACTCCCACAATTGGAGTTGAGACAAAAATGAACCTACCTAGTTGATGCGATGTCAAAATCAACATCACTGCCAGGAGTTGTGAGTGTTTGGAGTTGGGTAGACTATATTGTCAAAAGGACAGCAAAGTCAAAACCAGGTTTTGTAATTGGGTTTTTTAGAACCTTTTTTTAAGTCATTATTTCAAAACCCAGAGATTTAAAAGTCAAAGTAGAAGCATGGGTCAGAGGAATCTTCAGGAACAGGTAGCGAGTTCTTCAAGGGCCAATAACGTTAAACTTGAGTGACAGCAACTAAATATTAGAACCATATCTATTCACTGAAATAAGTGTCCTGATGTCAGAAGGCTCCGCATGCCTGGGAGCCAGGGCCTGAAAGTGACTTTAGGAGCTTAACTGAATACATCCAGTTCTGAAAGTTGTGGCCTTACTCCTTGCCATTGAGTCTTTCTTCAGAAGCTGGACTCTTTTGCCTTTGTCAGCAAAGGTCATAAGCAAATGACGGTTTGATTGTGACAATGAAATGTTTATAATCCTCACTTTTCCGCAGTTATTTTATTGTGTATTTCTTTACTTTAAAAGATTGCACAGCTTTTGAACAAATGTGATCTAATACAAAACTGCAGCTTTACTCTTTCACCTGCATATTTGGGAGTGTCTTCTTTCCTGTTCCGTATTACTTGCCCAGGCAATTCCCATTAACTGTTCTCAAAAATATATAGGTAATGACCAGGAATCCTGGTTTCCTGTTTCCCACGGAAAACAGAAAACCATGGATTTCCCAATTTTATGAGAGAAAACATGGATTTTTCCTTTTAGAAGAGTAACCCATGGATTTCCCCCTTTCACAAAGAGCTCTGCAGGCTGACAGAGTTCTAGCCTACAAGAAGTGTTTGCAAAAGGGGCAAGGAAACCCTCAACCCTGCCAGGAGGGGAAGGCAGGGCCTAACACACTCACTTACCAGAGGCTGCTTCAGGCTCACTCTTCTTGCTGGAGGTAAGCAGGGCTGGGGGGGAAGCTGGCTAGGGCCTGGGGGAGCAGAGAGGTTTGCAGCCAGCCAGGCACTCTGGCCGGAAGTGGGTTTGCAGCCTCCCCACTTCCGGCTGAAGTGCTTGGCTGGCTGGAAACCCCTGCCACTCCTGGCTGGCTGCAAACCTCCCTGCTCCCTCAGCCCCCAGCCAGCTTGAACACTCCCCAGGCAGGCATTCTGGCCAGGAGGAGGGGTTTGCAGCTGGTCACCAGCGGCGGGGATTTGCAGGTGGCTGAGCACTCCGGTCAGGAGCAGGCAGGCTGCAAACCCTGGGTCGCAAACACTGTGCTCCCCACCCTACTGCCCTCTCCCAGCTCTCCAGAGTGCAGCGTGTGTGACTGGCGTGACAGGGCACAGCGGGGCCATGCACGAAAGCTGTGTGCCACTGCAAGCTCTGTGCTGCCCTGGTTGGACTTCCTCTGCATGCAAGGTCTAGAGGGGAGAAGAAAGAAAGCTTACTCTCCAAACATAAGCGGAGTCAATAAATCATTGTGTAGCCAGCCTAGCGACCACCCATCCCTTTCGCGGCTTTGTAATTACTCCCTAAATAACGGTCACAACCCTCTTGATGTGGAGA